CTATTGGGTTGGATTGAATTAAGTTGAATTGTGGATCAGAACAAATATGATGAGAAATACTAAGCCTCGCTAACAGTGCCTACCTACATTCTTAATACCCTCCTAGACAGCAGGCAACCACATTCGGTAAACTGTAAAAATAATTGCCCATTTCCGAAGCTGCACATAATCTGTTTTGTAACAGCAATAAGACACAATCGCTGCTGATTTTCTGGGTGAAAATTACATTTCTCCACCAGCCCAGCAAGTCACTCTCTGCACTTAGCTCTCTTCTTCTTTCCCTATGGACCAGAACAGATGGAAGCCAGACTAGCTATAGCTCTGAGTCATTAGAGCTTACAATAATGCTTTCCACAATAAAAGTGGAATTTGGTAGGGCTGTCTCGGACCTTATCCATGTGGAGTTAGCAAGCAGGTAACACCTCAGCATGAAGTCCTGGTCGTTGAAGATGGTCCCTATGAGGGGGTCCTCCACAGGCCGAGCGTACAGGGGTTCAGCCACCCCATCCTCTGAGGTGAAGATCTGCCCATGAGCTTGCAGAATTCTTAATCATCAACTCTAATGACTTTTTCTCCATCTTCATTCTTCCTGACCTCTCTGCAGCCTCTGACCCTGATAATCATTCTCTTGTCTTTAGGTTTTCATAACACTGCTCTCTCCTACCTGACTGACCCTTCCTTCTCATTCTTCTTTGTTATATCTTCATCCAGATCACTCCTGCTACCTGTGATTGCTCTGTCCTTCTGTTCTCTTTTCCTTCTATGCTATTTCCCTTGATGGTCTCAGCTCCCATGGATTCAATTAGGGGCTACTAGGTGGTGCAGTGGATAAAGTACTGGGTGTCGAGTCAGGAAGACCTGAGTTCAAAACCAGCCTCAGACATTTACTAGCTATGTGACCCCGGGCAAAACATTTAACTTCTATTTGCCTCCATTTATTCATTTGTAAAATGGAGATAATAATAGCACCTACCTCCCAGAGTTGTTGTCAGATCAAATGAGAAAATAATTGTAAATAATTATAAAGTGCTTAGCACAGTGCCTGGCATATAGTAGGTGCTTTATAAATGTTAGCTAGTGTATTACTAGTCATCATCTCTTTGCAGATGATTCCCAGATCTACTTATCCATCTCTACCCTCTATCCTCCTATCCCCTATCTCCAATGGTCTATTGGATATCTTGAACTGGATGTCCTATAAGCATCTTAAACTCAATAAATCAAAACCTGTTCTTAAGTATCTTTCTCTCCAAGCCCTCCCCTCATTTTAATTTTTCTATTACTGTTGAAGGTGATAGCACCCTCTCAGTCACCCAGGCTCAAACCTCCTCTCTCTCTCTCTCTGTCTCTCTCTGTCTCTCTCTGTCTCTCTGTCTCTCTCTCTCCCTCCATATATATATATATATCTATATATCTATAGATATATATACAATCATAGGTCAAATCCTTTGTACCTTCTTAACATCTCTTATATACACACCCCCTTCTCTTCTCTGACATTACCAACACTCTGGTCCACATCCTTTTCATCTTATGCTTAAACTAATGCAGTTCTGCTTGGTTTACTTTTTATAAGAATGCTTTCCAAGCTCTCCTTAATGTTAGCATCGTGTATATCTTTTGTTTGTTGTTATTTTTTGTCCTTCATTTTTGAACAGGACCAATGACATCACAAGGGATGTCTTGAATTGCTTGTGAGTTGGATTTCAGTGAGGCAGAGTTGGGTGAAGTTGTGACACTCTCTCTTCCCACGTCATCGAAATCCAGTGGCAAGACAAAAGTCAAGATGACTGGTGATGGCCCAGGATACAGTGGATGACCTTGGCATCTTCAATGTCTGACCAAGCTCTAAGCACTCCACAGTGCCTGCTTCAGCCACCTTCATGGCCATTGGAACAAAGTATTCTCATCCACCCATTCCATAGCTGTTTCCATAGGGTTTGCTTGACCCATTGGAGTATGAGCTTTAAAAGCAGGCATTATTTTGTTTGTTTTGGAATTTTTCACCTTTCTTTGCATCCCCAGCACCTAACAGAATGCCTGGCACATAGTAAGCACCTGCAAGTGCTTGTTGACTGACTTACAGAAACACTAGCAAAGGTTTACAGAGAAGAAAAGCCTTGGCCAAGGTCAAACAGGGACCATGTGGCAAAGATGGCATTTGAATCCAGGTTCTCTGACTCCAGAGCTGGTACAGCACAGTGGGAAGATCTCGTGCTCAGGAGTCACAGGACTTGGGTTCAGTGACCTTGGGCAAGTCACTTTCCCAACCTGTAAGTTGAGGAGGCTGGACTAAAAGACCCCTAGGGTCACTTCAAGCTCTATATCAGTGATCCTAAATTTTCTCTCAAAGAGTTCTTTCCTCACTGATAGTAGATACTAATACAAACTTGTTTCCTTCCTTTTCCCCTATTTTACAGATGAGGAATTACAGGGGCAGTGTTGGGATTCAAGCCTAGGTCCTCTGACTCTAAGTCACGCTGAGACTTCCCTTGATCCAGCCAGAGTCTGCCCTTCACCCTCACCCCCAACCCCATCCCCAAATATGACAGCCAAGGTCTCAGAAGATCCATTGGGGAGCCTTGTTGTAGTCTTCATTCAGTCTTTTCAGACTCTTGGTGGCCTCATTTGGGGTTTTCTTGGCAGAGATACTGGAGTGGTTTGTGATTTCCCTCTCCAGCTCATTTTACAGATGAGGAAACTGAGGCAAACAGGCTTAAGTGACTTGTCCCAGGGTCAGCCAGCTAGTAAGTGTCTGAGGCCAGATTTGAACTCAGGAAGATGAATGTTTCTGACTCCAAGCCTGGTGCTCTATGCACTGTGCCATCTAGCTACCTTATATCTGGGAACTAGTTCATCCTAATGGAACCCAGGCCAAAGATCCAAAGTCCTGGGCCATTCAGCCAATGCTAAAGCTCTGAGCCAGAGAAAGCATGGTTTATTTTGAACACGCAGTAAAATTAATGACTGTCATTTGGAAGCTTTTAATTAAAGCCAATAGCACTTACCAAGATACTGGGCGAGTTTGAACCTGCTTAAAACACAGGCACACGCACATGCACATGCACATACACACATAGAGTTTGATTGGAGGTTAAATCACTCATGCCAGTGTCTGGGCGGGAGAGGAGGGTGTTGAATTTAATCTCCTGTTCCTCACTTCATAAACCACCTGTGTTTATTAATAACAATAATGTTATTATTATTATTTAGATACCTGGGTGTATATGACACACTGATTGATTTTGCAATAACCTGCTCTTATAAAAGTGAATATTGCTGTGGCTTTCCATAATCTCCAGCAGAGTTATTAAGACCCAGATATGATGCCAGATAACATCTTGTCCCCTAGAGGCCTGGCCTGACTCACATATTGATGGGGAGCCATGTTTTCCTAATGAAAGATGCTGGGGCATTCAAAGAAAGCCAAGAAAACATGCTCCTCTTTTCCTGTGAACACCAAGTTTATTGATTGACTGACAGTTACTCTACCCATACCTCAAACTCTCAGAAGCCAATGGGTTTACTTACCTTGTTTTACAAATGGGTAAACTGAGGCCTGTCGAGTTTAAGTGACTTGCCAAAGGTCACTCAGGTGCTAAACAGAAGAGGCAGGATTTGAACTAAGATCTTCTGATCTTTACCAGAACCAACAATCTTTTCATTGCACCTTATAGGGTGCTCACTGCAAAACATGAAAATATGAAAGACAAGAAGAATTCACTAACTGGCCAAGACCTGCAAACTGGTAGGAAATTCAATCTCAAGGACACCTGAGAGAATGACAATTCAAATCGCATAGATTTGGAGCTGGAAAGAACCTCAGAGATCATTTAGTCCAATCCTCCTTGGTTTACAGATGAGAAAACTGAGGCCAGGGAAGTGACTTGTTCAAGGTCATTTGGGTTGTAAAGTGGGAGAGCCATGATTTGGACTCAGGTCCAAACCCATTGCTCTTTCCACAATACCATACTGCCTATCATTCTTCTGATTCAATAATCAATGACCTTTGGTTTAATTTGTATGGCAAAGTCACTTAACTACCCTCAGCCTCAGCAGCCTCATCTGGAAAATGGGAATAATAATAGCACTTACCTCACAAGGTTGTTGAAGATCAGATAAAATTATGTATGTAAAAGTTGTATAAAGGTTAGCTATCAGGTGGTTTTGTTTCTTGTTTTTATTTTGTGTTTTTTAAAGAGGGGCATAATGAATAGATAACTGAAGCTAGGAAGACCTGGATTCAAATCTAGCCTCAAACACTTACTAGCTATGGGACCTTGAGCAAGTCATTTAACCTCTATTTGCTTTAGTTTCCTCATCTGTAAAATGGGCATAATAGCACCTACCACCCAGAGTTGCTGTAAGGATCAATTGAGATAATAGTTGTAAAATGCTTAGCACAGTGCTTGGCACATAGTAAGTTCTGTATAAATATGAGTTATTGTTATTGTTATTATTATTAATAGCACCTACTTTTCAGGGTTGTTGTGTGAATCAGTTGAGATAATAATTGTAAAGCACTTAGCACAGTCCCTGGCACATATATAAACGTGAGTGATGCTGCTGCTGCTGCTGATAATGATGTTGATGATGAAATTACAGAGAAGATGCCAACTTACACTGGTAGAGGAACTTTCCTCACCTGAGAATTCCCCATGCCAATAAAATCATAGGTCTTATTCATGGACAGGTTGGAGTAGATAACCTCTGAGGTCCCTTTTGACTCTGAGATGCTCTGATTCTGAAGTAAGCAATCAATATTGGGCGTCCACTGACTGAGAACCAATCAGAGTCTTAGAAAGAAGAGGGAAATGCTTCTGCCCCCTTCGGTTAGACTCTTCACAATGGGTAGATTTAATCTCTCTCTCTCTCTCTCTCTCTCTCTCTCTCTCTCTCTCTCTCTCT